CCCCGCCCTCCTCACCTGCAGCCAGCGCCAGCGCCGCCTCCTGGCCGCCGGCGTCCCGCAGCGCGAACATGGCGCGGTAGCGCTCGAACAGCGGCTGGGACTCGTCCAGCAGCACGGCGCGCAGACGCCCCACGTCGCGCTCCTCCGCCGGCGGGGCTGGGTCCACCGAGAGGTAGGGCCCGGTCACCCGCTCCCCGCGGTGCTGCTGCAGCCACTCCAGCCGCTGGACCGCCAGCTGGCAGGTCTCGGCCACCTGCAGGGAGAGGAGGCGCTGGCGGTCCTGTCCTGGGGGTACGGGACGGGCCATCCCCACCCTCCGGGGCTGGGCGTTTAGCAGGGGCGACAGACCTAAACCAGCAGGGTGGCAAGGGTGACAGACGGAGGGCCAGGAAGAACCTCAATGAGGAGGTGGCATCAAGGTAGAGACCTGAACCAAGCCAGGGAGGGGGTCAGGCAGAGACCCGGGGGACGAGGACGCAGCCCACGCAAAGGCCCTGAGGCAGGGAGAGGGGTGGGGGCTGCGTTACCTCAACAACAGGGTCCGTGGAATATTCCTTCAGCAGCTCCAGGACTTCAGGGTTCCCGATGGCTCCCAGGGCCTCCCCTAGGAAGCAGCAGCCAGACAGCGCGAGGTGGGCAGGTGGGCGGGACCTGTCCTGCTACCTGGGGAGCCACTGACCCGGATACCCCTCTCACGACTCCTGTGTGGGGCGGTCCCGCCTCTGGCCACAGCTGATTGGAGCTGTGGCAGGTACAGGCTCCAGGCTGGGCCAATCAGTCCCTTCCCTGGAGCGGGGACCTGCCTGGAACCACGCAGGCTGCAGCAGCCGGCCAAGCTGCCCGCCCAGAGACCCCGAGACAGGTGTGTGGCTACGACCTGGGCACGCAGCTGACAAGGAGCTCCAGGAACGTTTGGCTAGTGGAGCCGACGGGAACAGCCCCCGAGAGAGATTTTACGCTGTGGTGGGGGGGAGGCTGGGCAGCCCAGGGCAGGCTGGACGCTGAGGCCACTGGCCAAGACGGACACCTGTGCCAAGGCCCTGGGGCCACGACGTGGGTGCAGTGGGGGACCAGCGGGAGGTGGCAGGTGGGTGCAGAGACCAGGCCCCGGCAGAAGCCCAAGCCCGAAGGCTGCTCTCTCTCTAGAAAGGGGCTCGGCTGAGGACACCACAGCCCCAGCCTGGTGGTCAGGACTCCGATCCAGGGAACTAACCCAGAGCTACATGGGCCAGAGCAGCCAGGGAGAGTTCTGGGGGCCTAGAGTCTCGCTCTGTCACCCAGGCTGGAATGCAGTGGTGCAGTCACAGCTCACTGCAGCCTCCAATTCCTGGGCTTGAGTGATCCTCCCACTGTGGCCTCCCAAACTGCTGGGATCACAGGCGTGAGCGAATGGGCCCCACACTTGCCTGGGTTGGTTTTTCTTTTTTTTTTTGTTTTTTTTTTTGGTTGTGGGAACCAGACGTCTCGGCTCTGTTGGCCGAGAGGGTTAGAGTGCACGTGCATGTCAGCGCGTCGCCTCACAGCAGAACGCTCAAACTTCCGGGCGCAAGGCGATGCTCCGCCTGCCTCGACCTGCCCCAAGTACTGGGACGTACAGGCAGTGCGCCACACCAGCGCCGGCTACGATTTTTCTGGAGTATGTATTATTGTTTGTGAGTTTCGGGC